GTTTATATAAAATGCCCAATGAAAAAAGTATAAAAAATTTCCCTTCTTCCTTAGTACAGACAACAGACAGTTATACGTTTCATAAAATATTAATAAATAAATTATAGTGTACAAATTAGACTAATACTTTGTAACCGCTCATCGGACATTAGTTTAGTTTTCGTTAATTAATTCTGTATATTTAATCATATCTCTCTATAAGGACATGTATTATTTATATCGATTTATTAACCCGTTCTCCTGGAGATTTTAATACCGCAGTTGAGCTCGTACAGCGGTAATTTTGTTTCGATGTCCATTTAAATTTTGCTCTAAAACACTTTTTTATCATAACTTTTAAACTATATGAGACAATAATGAAATTTCACTGAAATCCTCTTAATAGATGGTTTTATAATCTTACCTTATAACATGAGCACCCTGTGTGTTAGCAATCGAAGCAGGTTGATTAGAAGTTGGGTTTGGTGTGGTACATCTTGAAACACCCATCTACACACAACGCTGCCTCACACTCAATACACCAATATTGAGAGTCTCTCCTCTTCCCGTGTTTCGTACACACCACACATCTCCTTTGAGGTTTTGCCTTTTTGCCTGTGGGTGGTATACGCTCCTGGAAATGTCGTTCTGAGAGTCTCTTAGGTGGGGGCTCAAGTGGCGGACGGACGGATAAAGGACGCGGAACACTGGGACCGTGTTTTTCTACGAGGCCTTGGGCTAGAAGAATTCTGAATTTCAAGGTGTCTATTTTCTTGTTACTTGGAACAGACCGATACATGACCATGGCATTATGTATTGATACATTGAGCAATCTTTTGAATAGTTTCATGTACCACTTTGTTCCTCGTTTTCGTTCCAGCAAGTACGGCTGGAGCATCGTTTCTTCAGATCAACTCCATGCATGTGTTTATTGTAGTCAAGAACTACCAGAGGCTTTTTCTCTTCTTGCTTGGCTCTGTTGACAGTCACACGCATATCATCTTTGTGGTATGTAGATATCATGGTGACTCTCTTCTTGTCTTGCCACGCGAGAACTGCTACATCTCCAGAGTGTTGGCCACAGTGCTCTCCTTTGTTCAATTTCTTATTCTTCACTGCAGGAGGGACATTCTTCCTGTTGGCACGTAAAGTTCCAACACAGTCTGTTCTCTTGGACTTTATGAAACGTGCCAAATCCGGAGAATTGTAGAAATTGTCCATCCACACTGTGTGTCCACGACCAAGAAGTTGTTCTAGCAGTTTGACTACAATTGCCGCAGTTTTGTTTGTTTCTGCAGTCACAAACTGATTCGTCAGTTCCATGTCTTTTCCAGTATACACGAGAAAAGACCACACATAGCCAGAGCTAGACTCGCAGAGTTCATACGTTTTTATGCCAAATTTGGCAGCTTTGAGGGGTATGTATTGTTTGAAAGACAAACGACCTTTCGATAAAGTCAAGGACTCGTCTATCGCAATGTTCTGGGATGGAAGATACAGATTTTGAAACTTGTTATTCAGGTGACGAATGACTGGATAAATTTTTAAAAGTTTGGAAGGTCCTTGATATTCATTTTGCTTACTGTTGTCTGCAAAATGCATAAATTTGGTAATTACCTCTAGTCTTTCCAGAGGTAAAGTCTCAGAAAAAAGGGAGTGAACAGCAGCCGGCTCTTAGCATAGTATGATGCAAGCGTAGGCTTTTGTATAATGCCCATCGCCATAAATACAGCCAAAACCAAGTAAATTTCGTCTACTGTGACATCTTGCCACTTCCTAATCCTAGAGCAAAATGTGAGGGGATGGGCAATTTTAGAAATTTCTTGCTGAGCATACTTGTTGGTTTCATCTACAATGAGCTGTACTAGAGCTATATTGAAAATGTTTTTCGAATGAACTCACGATATCTAGTCCAGCAGTGTCGAACTGGGGACCAGATGTATTGCAAAATGCTTCTCTTGAAGCAGTAAATGAGTGTATGTCACTCCACACAAACCTGCTGGACACAACACCCACTTCAGCCCTCTCGGCACTACCACTGTCACTGTCACTATCTGAATTATTACGTTCAGTTGTTACCAACTGAGTGTAGTCAATGTCTACTACACTTTCAGACTCAGAAGAAAATTAACTTGAAGATTCATCTTCTAAAACTTCATCTAGCACCAGGATTTGCTCCGCGTCTGTCAAAACACGACTGATCGACGGCCGGTCCATTGTGACTGAGATGTCACGCATTTACATTTAGACTCCCAGGCACTTGCTCCAGGGGATGCAACAGGGTTGGAACATCGTCAGTTAGAGACCAAGGTCATCGCGCAGGCGTTATTCGTTCCATAGTTATGGACAGTAGAAGTCAGCTACCTGCCTGAAGGTCAGCTGCATGCATCACACATAAACAATCACAGCCGTCTTTTCTTACTAATACCTTTGCTGATATACTTCAGAGTATAGGGGTCCTAAAAGTTTGTTATTTGGGACACACCGATACATGATCACTGCATAAGTACCGTTGTTATATTGGGCAGCCTTTGCAATCACTTCAGATTTTTTTCTCTCTCTCATTCGACTCTGTTCCCCTCTCTTTCGTTACAGGAGATATGGCTGACATTTGAACCTATTCTGACACTCCATCGAAGCTTATCGTCTATTCACAAACAAACACACAAAGTGTTGAATTCAATATTTAGAAACCATAAGGTCACGCAATCATACGTACAGTTGCCAGCTCAGATCAAAGAAATGCGACGTTGCCACTACATGAATAGAAAGAACAATTTTTTCACGAGAGAACACTGCAAACATCATTAAGAATTAGTTATTCTTTACATAATTATGGGCTTTTGAAATTAGGCTTACAGCCGGGCGAGAATGTACGGCGAAAACTCCACTTTCGATTTAAATGCCGGATGAGCCGGTACGTCGCCAGAAGGCCTACGCTTAACACTTTTGTATTTCACCATTAGTTACCTCACGAATTGTTCAATTTAACACATGCTTCTGCATCACACTTCTCAAAATGTTTATTGTGTTGATAACTACTTGGGATTTTAGCACCACTTGTTTGAAACGGTAGTGGACTTCCGCCCCAAGTGCTAAAGGTAGGCTTTACGTTACGTGAGCAGAAAACATATTTAAGGATTTACTTAATCTTCGATCTCGCATGTAAATTCTGTTTATTATCGACAAAGAGTTGCATTTATGAGCAAGCGTGGGAAACCGGGTTGTGCGGATATTGTAAGTCTCTCTCTTTCATGAGAAAGGGGTGGTTCTTCACACCGAACCCGGACACTTACACCAATGGAAATTAATGTTATATCATTCTTGGTTCGAGTCTCTATACCGAAGGTACAGAAAGCACGCAAGTGATTAATAGGTTGACTAAGATATCTTATAAACTTATCATTTACATCTGTAACTTAATTATGAACGAGTGTCAATAAATAGTGGTGACTTCCTAATTATTATTGACTGGTATGAACCAAGCCGTTAACACTACCCGAAATAAGAGTCCACCCTCCGACGAGCTAGGACCCAGCAA